GGTCTGGCAAGGGTATCGACCAAGGTGAATTCCAATTCACCTTAAACCATAACCTGAAGTTACCGCTAAATTCAAAAATCATAACTCTGAATCTGAGGATGATATATTAAAATTAACTGTATATATAGCTGCATCTGTTTAAACAAACCTTTGTCTATGAAATCCAGAAAGCTAGAAACACATAATTCCCCTTCTGAGACACATCTAATTCATAAGCTTATCGAATTTAGTGTGTACACAAAGCTAATGTCATGAAACACAATAATTTAGGGGTTATCAGATAGTAATATGTATGAATATTTATATATTGATAGTTATGGAATTCACAGTTTTGGAGGGGCAGAGAAGAGGATTAAAAAATACTTTGCCCTCCTGCTCATCCACACTAATCCTTCCTAATTGGCTTATGGGCCGGCTCAGGGACACCCCCTAGAGGACCAATAAAAAGTGCCTGCGGAAGGCAGTCAGGAGGATCTTGTAACATCAAGAGGCTCTCGTTTTTGCATCAAGAGAAGCTCTAGTAAAACCAAAGCTCACAGCATCAAAAGGAGAAGTTCTTGTAACATTTAAGAAGAGTCCCCCTTTAACATTAAGAAAGACTCCTTGCAAGCCTTACTTTGAGAGAGCCACCCAGATCCAGATTGTCTGGTGCATTGAATTGGACTGTATCAGAACTTATAAAACCCAGGACTGTTAAAGGAGAACTATGAGATGAATGATTTCCACTCACCTCATAGTTCTAGCCGACCTGTGACAATGAGACTGTCACAGGTCGGCTCAGTAGATCGGGAGGTGAGCGAACACATAACGGGTTCGCTCACCTCTCACACCTGTCACGGCTCTCTGCCGTGACAGGGAGAGGGGCTGGATTCCCCTCTCCCCGCTCCGATCTGCCAGCGCTGACTGGCGGAACGGACGGGGGAGGGGGCGGATACCGCTGGCTCTGACTCTAGATAGGCAGAGCCAGCTGTCACTCACGCAGCTGGGCGGATCTCGATGTCCATGTCGGGATCCGCTCTGGCTGCGGCGTCTCAGTATACCGTGAGCTATAGCTCGCGGTATACTGAGCTTAGGGTAACGGGAGGACGCTAGTTTGTGTCCTCCCGTTACCCTAAGGAGAACTATGGGGAAAAACACTGACCCCAAAATAATTCTCCTTTAAGTATTCTCAATTGTATTCCCTTTTTATTTGCAGTGCTGTTATATATAGGGATGCACCGATATAGCGGTGCATCCATTCTTTCTCTTCTCCCCGCTGGGCGCTGTTCCCTGTCCCAGCGGGGAGGAGAGAAACTTTCACAGGCGGCCGAGCGCTGCGGGAGAAGAGCACTCTAAGCGGCCGGCGTCTCTCCTCCCCGCACAATTTTTGCATAATTTTATGAATTTTATTAATGGTTATCACAGAGGGATATTTGCACAATTTTATAAATTATACTGTCATTACTGCTTATAACGGAGGGATATTTGCACAATTTTATAAATTATACTGTCATTACTGCTTATAACGGAGGGATATTTGCACAATTTTATAAATTATACTGTCATTACTGGTTATAACGGAGAGTTATTTGCACAATTTTATACATTATACTGTCATTACAGGTTATCACGGAGGGATATTTGCACAATTTTATGAATTATACTGTCATTACTGGTTATAACGGAGAGTTATTGGCACAATTTTATACATTATACTGTCATTACTGGTTATCACGGAGGGATATTTGCACAATTTTATGAATTATACTGTCATTACTGGTTATAACAGAGGGATATTTGCACAATTTTTAAATTATACTGTCATTACTGGTTATAACGGAGGGATATTTGCACAATTTTATGAATTATACTGTTTTTACTGGTTATAACGGAGGGATATTTGCACAATTTTACAAACTGCAGTAATTACGCTTTGAAAGATTTAATTTTGCACCGAGGTAATGTTTTATTAGGTTTGCGTACCAGAGCATTTGTTTACATTTGCATATCACTATGTTTGGTTGTTTATATTCGTTGTATTTTTATTAGCATTATCCATCCAGTAGGATTTTCTTTAGGTTGATTTTATCTAGACATCATTTAAATAGGTGCGCTGTGTTCAAGCAATTATATTTAAATAATTCTGACTGGTTACTGTGGGCAAAACTATAATTCTGTGCTCATTCTTTCTCTGTTTTTAATGAGCCTATGGGGGTGATTTATTAACCTAAACACACGCACGCACCAGGTGCGTGTGATTTTCACACAGCAAAACGTATTTATCAACCAAAAAGTCTCTAAAAGCATATTTCCACTAATGCCATATATGGAAAAATCATGCACATGATGCATATATAATGCTGCTTCACAGTTTAGACAAAAATGGTTAGCTCATGCATTTACATTCCTGCATTCATCAACGCAAGCAACACAACATAGAGCTAATTTACACAACATCACCTTGCAATTCATGCTTGGCTTTGCACAACACGCCTGCTGGGTGTACACACTACAAAGGTGTTTAGATTCCACACATAGATCATGCTGGGAGGGAACACACTACAGAGGTGTATACATGTTCGTGGTGTGTTTATAAGGTTAGTAAATCAACCCCTATGTCTGGTTGTTTTTGGCATTCCCTAGTTCTTTCCTTATCGGATGAAATTACTGAAAAATTAATAATCTTTTTAAATAACTTCAGGTGTCTAATAAACGCTAAATGAATATCCCTTCTTTACCACAATTGATGTTGCAATGCAGTGGGTCTGAACACACACAAATGCTAATTTCATGTAGGTTAAATAAAGAGAAAAACTGAATTGCCAAATATGTGGCTTTTTACAAACTATTTCAGTGCCAAGACCAATTGCTAATCCAAACAAAAACCCGGAGAACACAATTTTGTAACCTATTGCTTATACGGACTGGACCACTCATACATGCTTGAATTTCAGTAAATGAATACAATGAACTTATCTCAGTACAAATCTCTGTGTTTTCTGTAATTGGTACATTTTAGATTTTCCAAGATTTCAAAAAGAAGTACCCTTGGGAAGCAACTAGAAGAAATCTTTTAGTGGTCTGACTTTAGTAAAGTGTATAATGTTTATTTTAAAGTTAACTTAACTGACACATATTTTTGACATTGGTATACCAACATTTAAGGGTTTTCCAAGGAGAGAGCACAGCAAAAGCTGTTTAATTTCAGACTCTATCTCGCTAACTGAAACGTTATATCCCCCAAATCAATTAAATTATAACAATCATGCATTCTGAGTCAAACCTTAGCAATTCATCTATATTCAGCAAATGTTCTGCTGTATTTCACTGACACCCTTTTCGTACATGGCAGCCTTTAAGTTTTTATGAATGCTTCAGATGAGCTGGGTTAACTTCTAGGATGCAGTGCCTAGAGGCCAACATCAAGGGGTGTTAACATCAAGCATATTGAGGGAGAACTTATGTGGGCAAATTGTATAAGTGGCAGCAAATTCTTCTGCATTATTCATCCAGGGATAACATTTAGTTGCCATTGGGCTATACAAGGCTACTTGTGTGTTCCTGCACATTTAAGGAGGAATGGGCTTTCTCCAAGCATACCTGCTCTCAATTTATTCATTGCTATATATGTCCCAAAATAAGAGCACTGTTTGAGTTGAGTTAGAGACCACACTTCACAGAGGGCCTTAAGAAGGCAGTGTGGCTTCTACATATATTTGCAAATGTATGCAAGAAAACCTTTGTTTTTAACACAAACTAGTGAAACATTTGTTTTTTTTGCTGGCTAGCTGGTATGAGTGTTGGGAAGTATTTGTAATGTATTCTTCTGTGAAATGCCCTTATCCTGCGCACCTTACTTTAAAAAGCTAGTTATACATTTATTGGAGTGATCTCCATTTTTGTTGTGCTTTTTTTTCTCCCCCTTAGGCCAGCTACCTTTTGCCACCCCTGATCAACTGGTACCTCCACCAATACACGCGCACAGAAGGCATATGTGCTCTTCTATATAAATATAAACATGAACACATAGCCTTAGCTACAGTGGATAAAGCATTTGCCTTCCTGCACTGAAAACAGAATTGTTAAAAATACGAGACAAATTAACACATAAAAATAACTTCTTAATAAAAGTTCATTAAAGCCACACTGCGGGCACAATTATAATTTACACACCTTGCTAGATGTGTAAATTACTATTAAAAAGCTGGGTGTTATGAGTAGAGGCCCACTGCAAAGTTTAAAAATCGTATCTTCGACCACGCCATCCCCAGCACGTCCAGTTTCCAGGCACTGAAGGGAGTGTGAGATGCGACTCAAGCAGTACATCGCTCTGGGTGCATCCCCCGCCTCCTCTTCTCTATTGTCCATTCACAAAATTCCTTGTATTTTTTCAAATAATTCAAGACATTTTGTGATTGGAGTAGGAGAGGAAGGAGCAGGAATATTACATAATCTCTCCTCCTCTAATCACAGAATGTCTAGGGTACCTGTGAAAGCAGTTTTACTTACTTTATACCTTGGCCCAGCAAGCTTCTCCTTTCATGCGACTAGTTCCCCAAAGCCTCTTCTCTTCCCTGTCCCGGCCAGTGGTGGCAGCTCTGACATCATCGCATACTATGTAAGACCAGCAGCCTTGCATTGTAAGTGAGGATACTGAGAAAGGAGTATCAGAGAGAAGAGGTGAGAAGTGGTTGATGTGTGAGCCTGAGGTAAAGTAAATAAAAGTGCTTTTTACGGGTATCCTATACAAAAATAAGCATTTAACCCTTGCAGTGCATGGGGTAGCGCCACTGCAAGGGTAGAAATTTCATTTTCCTGAAGTTGAGCTTTACATTAAAGTGATAATAAATTTAAAAAAGGTTTTAAGCTATTTTAAATGTTGATTAAATCACTTACATTGGATGCTGCTCCTTGATGTTTTGAAGTTTTAGTTTTCTGTAGAATCAGCTGGTCGCCTGAGCTCTGGCCCTGATTCTCTTTTTTAGAGGGGCTCCTTTTCCTTGCAAGGTTCTATGGAACCACCCTTGTGTGTGCTTGTAACATTTGTGTGTCTTCACAAACACACAGGCAAACACACAGGCACAGCAAGGCAATCTTCTCTCATGCTCCCCTCCATACCCCTTTTGCCAAGTTGGCAGATGGACAAATACTGGACGGATGTGATCTTCTACTGGACAGGAAGTTTAGGGAAGCTTAGCTGAGAGAGTTGGAGCCAGCTGTTTGAAAATATGATGACTGTAAGTGCATGGGGGGAAAAAAATACTTTGCTGGGCAATATGTGTTTGTTTAATCAATTAGTTATTTTTGAAAAACGTTTGAGTTTAAAAACAAAATTCTCAGCCCTGTGGAGAGCTCAGGTCAGGTAATTTACATCTGCTACATCTTACTATTTCCACAGCTCACTGTAAATATGACATTCACCTGGTGCACATTCATCTATTCTATATAAGGTGAATGTCACAGTGGAGTATCACTTGAGGATTAGAGTGAATTGCCCAAACCTACCCTATAGTGATTAAAGGCTGCTATAGACATATTCCTATGGCTTGTGTTGTTTTTACAACTTGCTCTCATTACATATATAGATGGAGAAACGCCCTGCGAACAAATTGCTCATAGTGATAACATATGCTGGGAAATTCCCAGATGAAGTAAACAATAAAGAAGTTAAAGTTTGGCTGAAATTTCAAAACTCTTTGAATGTTTTCTCATCATTGACTGTGTATAATCTTCTGTGCCAAATAAGAAGCTCTGTAAAAAAGTTTTAACGCGTATGTCTGGGCAAAAGAAAATATGCAGTACATGTGTGCAATATATGCACCCCCATGGTTGTCTCTTTAAAATGCTGCAAGTGCATGAAAATACCGTTTGATCTGCCTGATATTGGTGTGATCATAGCTTCATGTTATAAGCTGACAACACAGTGCCTCTGCTTCAAAAAGACCAGTCTGCAGCTTACCTAATGGAACTTGAATTACTACAGTAGATCTCAAATATTAATTCGTTTTGCGTGTGACGTTACGTGGTCCTGATCCTATCGTGCTGCCACCAAGATGTGACCATATCACTCTCAGCTTCACCCTGCACGAGATTTTCCAGCTGGCGGTACAACAATCTAAGGACAGCAGATCATCACTGAATGATCATCACTGGGGTTGGTTAACTCCGCAGTTAAGCCTTTACACACACAAATAATAGCTGTCACCACATGTTTTAACAAAAACATGCACCATTCCCAGCAAATGCTGTGACAATTCTAAACTTAAAGGGTAATTCCACTTTCCCAGGTGAATTTCCCCACCAGTCTGCAACTGCCCTCCGCTGCTCTTAACGAACGCTCCTTCCCCTCCGTGGTTGGCTGCCGGTGTAGGATCGTACACAGCAGAGCAGCCCTGCGCTCGGTATTTTAAATTCCGCTCGCAAATGTTGAGCGCTCATTGGTCAGTAGAGTCACCTGACAGAGCTGACCAATTATTGCCAAGAAACACTTTTCATTGGTCAGCACAGTCAGAAGCACTTCTCATGTGTTTAGATGCTTGACAAATGGAAAGGTTTAAATAAAAGTGAAATTGTGCAAAGATAATGCAAGACAAAGAAACGGGCTCACTTCAACCTCGCCCCATCCCTAACAACATATACTAGTCACTCTCCATTGAGCTATGAAGAGTTAGGAAAAACAGCTTTGTAAGGTCAAGTCAGATTTCTAGTCACAGCTTACACAGGACTGAAAGTCACCCTACTTATTTGTGACAGTGCTGGGCCAATCAACCAATTAATTGCAACGCAAACCTGTGCTTTCCCCATGCAAGGCCAGGTGACAGGCTCCCTTTATAGCCCTTCCCCCAGCACCCGTACTCAGGGTGTAACATGAAACAAGGTCATATCACCTGTCTACCTGACAATCACTACATCAGTAAGGCCTTGTTCACACCAAGCGCGTTCCAGGAGCAGAGCAGAGCAGTTACAGACCGGAGCAAAACTGCGTCCAATGTATTCCAATTATATTTTTAGCTCCAGTTCAAATCGCAGCGTTCCATTCCAGAGCAGGTAAAAAAAACTGCAGCAGACCCTATTTTACCTGCTCTGGATCTGCTCTGGATCTGCTCTGGAACGCATGCAAACGCATCAAAAACGCATGCAAACGTCCTGGAACGCACTGAAAGCCCATTTTAAACTAAAAAATATATATTTTTTTCCAACCAAAAACCGCCTGGAACGCATCAAAAACGTGGCAAAAAAGGCGGCAAAAACGCGACACAACCCACTGCAATGCGTGTGCAGAAACTCATGCAGATCTGCTCTGCATTTGGTGTGAACAAGGCCTCACACAATTGAGAACACAAACAATTACTTGCAATTATCCTCATAATCAGCATCACAGTTAAATCCAGTCTAGCGCTACTAAAACAGGTGAACAGCTAGAGGGATCCTGAGCCCAAGGACACAGGGGGGAGCAACTCCACTGGAACTAGAGTACTTTGGTGGCAATTGGGGAGGTGCTCCCCACAGTAGTTGGGTTTTCCTGGAAAAACTAAGTACTACTAGGCTCTGGTCCGGCTGCTCACATGGTACTGACAGTAGAGAGCCTCTCACCTTGCTGCAGATCACTTGCCCAGCTACCTGTCTTTCAGCATTGTCATCACAAGGGGGTGCAGGGGGTGAGGCCCACACTGGATGACACCATCAGAGGGGGTGACACCAAAATGACTGACAGGGCACTCGGTCATGGACTGAGAGCCTGACAGCTACAAGATAGAGGAGGGGACACGGCGGCCTACCTTATCCCATCAGATGAATGTCCCCTCCTCGCTTTGCTGGCATCCATCACCAAGATTGTCACCGGCAGTGAAGTGCACTGGTTGTGTCAATACAGTAGTTTTGATGTATCTGAGTGTATGTTTCTGGTTGTGTTGGTACATTAGTGATGATGTCTGAGAGCATGTTTTTGGTTTTATCGGTACAGTAGTGATGATGTCTGTAATGATATTTTTCTGGTTGTGTCAGTACAGTAATGATGATATCTCTATGGGTATGTTTTTGGTGGTATCATTACAGTAGTTCTGATGTCTCTGAGGGTATGTTTCTGGTTGTGTCAGTACAGTAGTGTTGATGTCTCTGAGGGCATGCTTCTGGTTGTGTCAGTACAGTAGTAATGATATCTATATGGGTATTTCTAGTTGTGTCAATACAGTAGTGTTGATGTCTCTGAGTGTATGTTTCTGGTTGTGTCAGTACAGTAGTGTTGATGTCTCTGAGGGCATGCTTCTGGTTGTGTCAGTACAGTAGTAATGATATCTATATGGGTATTTCTAGTTGTGTCAATACAGTAGTGTTGATGTCTCTGAGTGTATGTTTCTGGTTGTGTCGGTACAGTAGTAATGATGTCTCTGAGTGTATGTTTCTGGTTGTGTCGCTACAGTAGTGATGATATCTCTATGAGCAGGGCTTGAAAATTAACTCGTCCTCTAGTCTGTGATTTTATTTTAAAAAGTATAGCTGTTGAAATCACAATGAGATAAGGAACGGTATTCTGTATTCCCTCTTCTTAAAATTGGTTAGGACATAGTGACTGATTTAAAAACAGATAGCAGATAACACTACCTGCAGAACAAAACAGAGCAAAAAGGCAGTGTAGAGCCTGTAGTGGCCAACAAAGTGTTCTCTGTTTAGTGCTACGGAGAACACTACCTGATAGGATAGCTCAGTCACATGAGCTGTCAAAGTCCTTTTGACCAACCTCTGTTCTTTTCCTGAAAAAAAAAACTTAGAGAAAGGAGGAGCTTGTACAGCAGATGCACAGTTGGGGGACTGACAACAAGATTACACAGTAGGGAGGATGTGTCTGACAGCTGTACATGACCTACATGTCTCTTTGTTTTCTTTGCTTTCTCATATCTCATATCGGCCTCGGGCGGCAGGGAGCAGAGGGGCAACAGTGGTGTGGAATAACCCCAACGACTGGGACATACCCGCCCGGGCCGTAAGTTGTGCTCTACATTTAGCCCTGCTTTGAACTAGCTGGGCTAAATGTGGTGTGAGGAAGCCATCATGTATTGGAGGTGACAGGGTCAATAAAGAGAACCTGTCACTTCCAAATGTTATCACACAGGGGCTTGTTAGCTCCTGTGTGATAGCAATAAAGTTAAGTAGTAAAAAAAAGATAAAATTAAATAAATACAAATGTAAAAAATAAGTAAAAAATATTAAGTCATAATAAATAAATTAAAAAAATAAAAGTGATTTAAAAAGTAAAAAATAATAAGAAAACATTATAAAAAAGTAAAAAAATTATAAAAAATAAAAAAGTAAAAGATGAGAAGATAAATAAAAAAGTTAATAAAATTTAAATAAAAAAGTGATAAAAAAGTTTTAAAAAATAAAGAAACAAAAAAAATGTAAAACTAACCTTACCGCCCCCGCTATCCGGTTGCCATTCTCCATTTTTTGGTCTGGGAGGGGGCGCATTGAGGGACCTGGCCTTGGGGCAGCAGGGAGAGTAAATCCAGCCCTGAAGACAGGTACTGTATAAGCAAACACTGATCACTGCATCCCTGTATAAAAAGCTGGTCAATATGTACCTAAGCAATATTGCTGTAAAATATTAACATGTTTTTATTTCTTATCAGAGCATCAAAGAGACAGTGATAAAAGAAGACACTGAAAATAATTGGGTTAATGTATTTACATTGTCAACAACTTGTAAGGAGTTTGTGGTGAGCTTCTGATCTCTCACATGTACGTTATACTGTATATATTACCTGAAAGTACCTGTTGACAGTCATAAATACACATTATACTGTATAGTATATGGTACCGAGTATAAGTAAAGGTTCTAAAGTTGGTTGTGTGTATTACCCACACATGGATAAAATGATTGCTTGTTGTCAAATCAGAAAATATAAAACCTTTTCACAGCAATATAATGAGAAATAAATAGATGCATATATTTAATATTAATCATATACATAAACAATAAGGTGTTAATGCCAATCTCACTGCACATTTTGTTTGGCTTATTTTTTTCTTAATCTACCAGGCATTCAGAAATTGTGTATACACTTGACATACTGTATGTTAAAAGTGACATTTTGGGCAATATGTGTTTCAATATATTTGTATTGGGTCATTTAAAATAAAAATATAGAACACAAGTTCTAGTCTTGATCTTTTTTTGTCACAGCTATATCAGATTTTGGAATGTTGCTTTTAAAAGATATTTTAAATAATAATGGGTTTCAACATGAACTAGGAAACTGTGCAACTCGGGGGAAAGGGGGTTAGATAAACTCAGTGTGTGTCTGTTTGGGGTGAGGGGGGCTATTGGGGGGTGACAAAAAGGGTAACTAAACTTGCAAAATGTTTTGGAAAGTTTTCTTACACGTTAATGCCCTCTCCTTGTCCTCATCTGAATAGTGGAGTCCTGTGTGAACTGGAACACAAACAGTAATCACTGCTGATTACAGACCTGACACAGAAGAAACACCAGTATAATGAACTGGGAACCTGCACATATTACCTAAATGGGGAGCCATCCAGGGTTTCCACATCCAGCCTGAACTTGCCAGTAGCTGCAGATGACTGTAGGAGCTTCCAGAAATGCAGGGCTTGTCACAGAGAGAGAGAGAGAGAGAGAGAGAGAGAGAGAGAAAACCAGTATGGCATGACTCTACCAGTACTATTGGTTGACTGGAGAAACTTTTTAGCATTTTCGATATCCGGCATGAATCAGCAGCTGTTGCTAGTAGAAAATCTCCCAAATAATCCAAGAACAGCATAGCTGAAAAAACATTTCCCTTTTCCAGAAGGCACTATTAAAAAACTCAGGTATGATAGTTGTGCTCATTGTAAAGCTAGCCCTCCCAGAATGCAGTGCTTGGGCACGATTACATCATTTGTGCCAAAGTGGACCAGGAAGTGGAAAAAATAAATTGTAAGTAAAATAAAAATATGTTTGTTTAGCTACTGAATATGAGATTATTTCATATCAGCAGGCAGAGCTGTATGCTGACGTGATTTTTCGTTAAAGGGGGGGAAAGGTCTGCTTTAACAATTAACAAAAATGTATCTTATTTGTGTATCACTCAGCTGTAGATCCTCAAATCATCTCTGAATTGGTGTGGACACTTTTTTTGTATTGAATTGTATTGAATGTATGTATGGTTTATCACAGGAGTGAGCCTGAAACTGACTCTGTATGGCTGCAGCTCATAATAATAATATGTACAGGTACTCATTAAGGGAACATAGGTCGCAGTGGGTTTTCTGTGATTTCTACAAGCATTGGGAACATTTATAACCAGTAATCAAAACATTTTAGTAGCTTTCTATAGTGCACTGGTGAGTAGTTTAAACTAACATTTCCTTTCACATTCTGTTCTTATGCCTGATGAGCTGAACCATAACTGAAAGCTACAGTGCACAATCTGAAAAAAATGTGGTCATCACCTGGAACAAATATTTTAACAGTCTCGATGAGCCCTTTATCTGTATTGGTTTATTATATGTTATAGCTAATAAACATATTAGATATTCAGAAATAAATTATAATAGGAAAAGGTAGGTGAAGAAACGAAAAATGTAATATGGGCACACAGATGAAGGATAATGTGGATTTGCAGTAACGTTGGGGCACAATAAACTTACTCAAAACAAGGGAACATTTCTAATAAGTGACAAACTTGTTATGCACACATTCTCACCATATTGTGGTCAATTATTATATATATAAAAATTATTTTTGAAAGGTGATTTTAAAGGACCCTTTCAAGATCTATTTCATTTAAATATATGTCAGCAATTAGCATAGTTGTTAATGCATTCTTATTGGGTTCTCTCTAATGGCACCTATATACAGCCCAATAATAGACATTAATCCCACATATAGGGGTTAACAAATGTATAGTAAGCAGGCAGAGATCTTCAGACATGTTGGAAAATGTCAGTTTATTCAAGCTCCCAATGTAGAGCTTGGATACACTAAGCCATGGCTCATGAAAATATGACCCATTGGCCCATGACTTTCTCAGTGACTTTTCCCATTGGCCCACTGTTTTTGGTTCGCATCCTGAGTCAGGAAGAAGAATGCAGAAGATTCAAGCACCTGATGATGTACGAGAGCAAGGGCAGATGTCTCACTGTCTGCTGCCTTTGTTAAAACATCTGTTTGTCAATGCTCTATTGCAGTGCAGATCTGGTGTAGGCAGACAGAAATATACAGGGTGGATAAAGAGTTTCAGAATTGCTAGACAAACCGCTGTAAACAGTAACTCTACCCTGCTTATAAAACAGTTGCTACAGAGTAGAGCAGTAAAACGGTCAGCATCGTATGTTCGTTAGCATCTATCACCTATCTTGTTCCTTTGTGGTGCTCACATATTTGCAATGTTGGTTCAAGTTTCCATAACAGTCCTAATGCAGATCTATTTTTTACCCTAAAAAGAGAAAACTATGCAATTATTTGGTGGCTCCCATTTTCTGCTTGTAAGAGACCGATGATCAGCATTCTCTACCTCAGCAGGACTTGCTGATCTAGGTGCACACTCAGACCGTCTGCTGGCTGAAATCTTCTACTACACAAAGGCACGCAAAGCTGTAATATCAGAAGTTAGTATAAAATCTTCTCGGTACTTTGTGTAAGTGTCAGTGTAAATGTTCCTAATAAATTTTGTGTCAGTTCTGGAGAGCTGCGGTGTTCTCTCTGATAATTTTGAATGTCATAGTGGTGTGACCTCAGCTTATCCTTGATATCCTGGTTGTCTGATCTTTTGCATGGTTCGTGATAAAGGCTTTTGCTTTAAAACTTGGTATTTTCTTTGCTCATCTGTTACCGGTGTGCTAATGTTGTGGCAATCCTGGGAGCTGCCATGCAACTAAGTTTCAATGAACTTTAAGTGGTGAGAGCCTACATCAATCAATCAAGATTCACTGCTATCTGGAACAATGGGTTACTGAAAAGAGGAATCTTAGATTATGCAAACCCTTAAAAGAAATGCTGCAAATGGGCTCATAGTATACTTTTTACAATTTTAAGCAGAGAATCATTGTCTGAAATTTTGCATGGGCTGTTTGTATGGGCTGCTATAGATAGTCCAACTTATGTTGGAACCTACAAAGAATCACAGGTATCAGTCCATGCAGAACCAGCTCTCCTTCCTGAAAGCTATCACAGGAGGCTGAGCGCGTGGAGCTTAGCCTCCTGTGACAGCACTGCAAGCTGTCTCCTCCCACACACCGCTCTCCTAGAGGGGAGATGTGGGAACAGAGGGGATGTGGGGGAGAGTGGGAACTCAACTGCCCTGCTGAAACCCTGCACATCATTGTTGTGTAATTGCTGGGAATTGTAGCCCTCTATAGCTGATGTACTCGGTCTAGAAAAAAATGGTATCGGTGGATCTCTACTCCCATCCATGCCCGTACCGAGGTACAGACATGTCTTAATATGGATGGGAGGCAGAGTTAATTGACTACAAGTGTGGTGCATAGGCAGCCGTCTGAGGGCGCGCGTGCGCGGGGGTTGCTAAAACTGCACGTTCGCCGGTGTAGGCAAAAATCCTTGCACTGACCCTGAGTCCATGGGCATCTAATGTCTATGGATACCTGTGTACTTGTGTCACGTGTCTTATAGCAGATGTTAAAGATTTGATACTTGTTATAAAGGTGAGCTTCAGACAAAGACACAATGATTTGTGAATCAGTTTTTTATTTCTTTGCATATGACTGGACATTCAACGTGAACACAGTTTTACATTCTTTATACCTTTAGTAAACAAGCCCCACTATCTACAACTAGACAATTTAGTAAAAGTATTACTAACGCCTAATCTTTTTGAACAGCAACACTTCGTGATAGAATAATTTAACACAAGAGAATAATATACGCCTCGCCACCAAGCGCAGAAACACTTTTGTGTAATTACAATGCATCATCATCATTTATAAAATTTCTTAGCGTGGTAATGCTACCTGTGCTAACAGACAACGCAAGACACACCTCCGCTGCTCCTCCAAGGGAAGTATTTGTCCCCATAGGCAGCACCTTGGAAGCTGCTGTCAATCACTTCTCTTGGAGGAGTGTCCTCTGGTGTGTCTCCTCTTGGTCTGCCTGTGCACATCGGTACACTAAAGGGTGGCTTCATAGGACCTTGCATGGGGAAGGAGCCAACCTGAAGCAGGAAATCTGGGCTAGCACTTTTCCTGCTTCAGGTTGGCTCCACACAAGAGGACACGCAGAATAAGGAGGAAAGGACATGTCTACTACATAAAGAAGCCAAGCACATTGTAAGTCTTCACCTCAGCTGTAAGATTAGCAAAAAATATTTAAGACTTTAATATTATTCAAATTAATTTTCACTAATTTGTAATACATAAATTGCTCCTGGTCCTTGGTGTAATATGTTTTACCGTAAGGAGTTTAAATAGGGACGTTCCAATCACATTTTTCATGTCACATGTCTTTTGATCTGTCACATATGTCTATCTTATGAGTAATTATGACTTATTCTAGCCATGGTGTTGCAAATAATTGAAAGTAGAACCAAATCAAAAGCAAACATCCCCTTTCTTGCAGTTATAATGGTTGTAATGTGGTATATTTATATGTAGCCAGTAATTAGCTCTAATAATGTCCCATATGAAATAAAGTCACCAATCTACCTTGACTGAACTTTCCGGCGTTCTGTTCTTAAACAGATTAATGAATAGAGAAAACATTCCTTAGCAGTAGGACACTTATAGTACAAAAAGTCAGTTTGAAACTATAGTAAAGATGTTTAAAACAGACAGATCTTAAAACACACAGTCATATAGCAACCTGGCAGAAACACAATATGCAAATAGTCTGACAGAAACTAGATTTTCACAGAAAACAGCAAACCTAGAGCAATCTTGCCGTTATTAAGAGCTTCTGTATTCTTATATGTAAAAGACTTTGAGATGTGTAAGAAATTAAAGTTCGTGAAATTGGTATCAGTTTTTTTCTCAAGTGATGACTAAAACAGCTGACTACAGTATCATCGCTAAAGGCCTGTGCTATTTTCTGGAAGTCCTACAGTCAGTCAAAGGAATACTGTCTGAACCTTGATTAGTTTATAAAATATGTCCACAAATCACTGTAAGCCCTGAAAAACTGTCTACCATGATATCACAATTAATATAAAATAAATATCTAATTTCCACACCTTATTGTTGTACAAAAGGGAGGCATCCAATTTAGTAAAGTTATCCTGCAGTCGTGTCTGACCGCATATGTACAGTAATCATGTAGGACTTGGGGAAATATATACACCATCATACCATATGCAAATACATTTTAAAGGGTTACTAATCCTACAACACAAGTCCATATATGTAAAGATATTTTGACCATCCAACACTGATAATGCATTTTTGGTAGCTGCGGGTTGAAGGTGTTTTGCAGGGTCATTTAAAGAGGAACTTTACCTATATCTCCAAAATAACAACAAAGGCACCTTTAGAAATGTTTATTAATGACAATATACACACAGATACTTCTAGATAGTTGCAGGCTTTATATTCTTTGCATACCTTATTTTTATTTTCTTACATATAACCATGCACATCATCCCAGGGGAGTAAAATACCTTTCCCTGAGATCTTGTGAGATAACAGATGAGATTTCCCAGCAATGATGTACCCCTTCCCAGGATGTAATGCTTGGGCACAATTACCTCATTTGTGTCAAAGTGAACCAGGAAGTGGGGAAAAAGAAATTGTAAGTAAAATAAAAATATGTTTGTTTAGCTAAAGAATGTAAGATGATTTCGTATAAGTATGCAGAGCTGTATGCTGATGTGATTTTTAGTCAAAGGAGGTAAAGGTCCAGTTTAATTATTCACAGATGAGTATCCAAGCACAAAAAAGTGACTTTCTGATAGAGAACCTTGCTTTCTTATTACTACAGTGACCTTTGCTTACCTGGGTTGTCTGCAGTTATAACACAGCTTTACCTCATTCACAAAGCAAAAGGGAAAACAAAAATTCCTTTGCAGAGTGCTAATTCCCTTGCCAAGTGAACAGCCCATATCCCTTTATTAATGTCATCAATATCCTATCACCCCAATTCCATTACAGCACACAGCATTGACTTAGGGCTTGGAGGATGGGACCACAGTGTATGGTGGGATACATTGGCACATAACACACCTGGAAGTGTTAAATTCCGAAGACACTAGATGAGGTTGCAGGGCTGAAACAGAGGAAAGGTAGGAGAGGTGAATTTAATGATTCTTCACTTGCAGGGTACTGCCTGTACAAGTCTCTTTAAGTCATAAGGACGTAGTCTGATATGTTTAAATGCGTGTCATTAATATGTCAAACCACTTTGTATTAGATCCAGGCCCAAATGAAATATGACATAACAAAATAAAAAAAATAGGTGGGTGTCAAACTGTATTATCATGACATAATTACAGTTACAATCAAATGGGTTGCTAAAGAAAAAAAGTGATATAGGGAACCTTGGGTACAAGAAGTATGGAAACTTGCTGACCTCTCTTCTGTCATGTAGATCCAATGGCTGCATTCGTTTTGAGTCACCAACCTAGAACAAGTATGCAAACTACATCTCTTGAATTTACCCTGACTCTAGTGATCTGCATGTTTGTTCCAAGTCAGTGAAGAAGAAAGAATTGAAGCCAGGAAAGGCAGGTAACTATCACTTTCAGAAGACCAACGAGTGCCTACATACTTCTTTCCGTATAGGTTTCATTTAGTGATTAAAGAATCTATAAGTAAATAAAATATACATGACTTTCTAAAAGTGTATTTTGCACAGATTGTCTCATCGGGTTATATATATATAGATATATATA